ATTAGTTCTGGAAAAAAGTTTCATCTGAACTTTTACGATTTAATGACATAATGAAAATAATGCATTCTGAGCTTTTCTGAAGCAGTAAGTAGCCTATCTATGAACTCTTGTTGCTATTATCCCACCACTTTCTAGGGAGTCTCAAAAATCATTTACTAGCCCTCTGCTTGCCACGTGATCAGAGTCCTGTATTTCTCTCAGACCCAGCCCCTCCCTTCCCCTTTTCTCTCACCAGATGTTCTATTTCCTGGCACCAGCCTGTTAGCAACTTAGCCTGGGGCCCACACAAAGAAGGTTCCTCCTGGCAGTTGGTGCTCCGGGCTTCACTTCACTGGGGCAGCCACTGAGCCATGTTGGCGCTCCTTGCCTTCCTGGGGTTCCTCCAGTTGCCAGGTAAAGGATGCAAGGAAGGAGATTGGGGTGTTGGGAAGGGGTAGAGGTTGGAAGAGTGTGTGTTAGGGAAGGAGTTGAGGGGGCTTTGGGTCAGGGGGCTGCGAGGGTTCCCAGCCCCTGCCTCACACTATCTCCCACAGGCTCCCAGGCAGCAGTCACTCTGGAGCAGCCGATGGCAGTGCTGGGGGCCCCGGGGGACTCAGCTTTCCTGCACTGCAAGATCCGAACCAATGTCCGCCACATCCACTGGTACCAGCACCAGGAGGGCAGGGCCCCTGAGAGGCTCCTCAGACTGGACACCTCCACTTCAGATGTGGAGTTGGATTCGGTCCTGAAAGAGGATAAAGTCAGCGCCACACTGTCCAGTGATGGCTCTAGCTGCACCCTGCTGGTGCTGAGGCTGCAGAAGGACGATGAGGGAATGTACTACTGTGCTGCCTGGGACCCCACAGCCTTGTGCCCCGCCTTGGCCGCTGCTCAAAAAGCTCAAGGATTTCCTACCTGCTGTCTGGTGACGTCCACCTGGTTGGCTCCAGAGGTCCCGCCAGAGGCGGGTCACCTGTGGTTATCACACACTAGAGCAGGAGTCCAGCTGCGTGTGACCGCAGGTGTAACAGGGGCTTCTGAAGGTTTAACATCCCAAACTGAGCTATCACATCAGAGATTTTTATAGTGGCTGCAGCTGATGTGACAATATTTTGGATATTTGGACTAAACACAAATAGTCCTAAAACAAATTTTATCGGTATCTTTTCACATTTAAAAAAAATGTTTCAACTACAGGAGTTTCAGTTTGTGTTTGGACTGGATGTAAGGATTTCTGCTGGATAGAACTAACACTTGTAAACTATTTAAGAAAGGGATCATCTCCCCTGAATAATGCACAAATGAAATATTTTATAAATAATTTCAAGAATGAAGGGCTCTCCAGTAATGTCACATGGTGAGGGAAATGTGGCTGGAAATCAACTGCAGCTTCCAGTTTGTGAGTTGTTGCCCCACTCATGGTTTGCATTTTGCAGCCAGGAGAGAGCCGTGAAGAGGGGAAGTTCTCATCCATGGCAAGACTGACCTTCCAGCCTCATAGGTGGAAATTTCATAACCTGGGCTGCAGCCAGCCCTGAATTAGAACCAAGGCGCTCTACTCTCCTTTTCCCCTTCAGAGTCACCACATCTGGAACATGGAGCATCTCCAGCCTCTCTGAACATGGATTCCAGTACTCAAGGGCTGATGAGGGATGATTTGCATAAACTGTCACTGGTTCCCACCTGATTCAGACCCCAAGGTATGAAAATTCTGCTCAAGGAAAAGCTTCTTTTAATCTTCAGGGAGTGAACAGACAGTATCAGTTCCGGTTACTGAGGACAATAGGATATATATATTTTTAAGTTTTATCATTTTTTCAAGTTTATTAAATAAAAGAGAAACAGACAGCTGCACAGACACAGGCAGGCACTATGGTAAGAATATTCTTAACACAAACATGCTAATTTGTTCATGAATTTCTTTTACACACCTAGGGCTCCAAGTGTTCTGGATGTAGGGAGAAGTGTGCCCCCAGGAAACTCTGTGCAAACACACTGAGGTGTAGCACCCCTGGCTGCAAAACCAGGAGACCCCCAAACCTTTCTAAGTGGACTAAGTAGACTTTTCCCCATATTTCTTCAACTATCACCTGAGAGCCAGCAGAAAGAAACACATGTAGGAAACTTCTTCCTAAAGCAGTGATTTTTTTTTTTTTAATTGCATAGATGAGCTGGGGTGTAGGCCAGAGGTATGGAGGGTGAGAGCATTCACGAGAGACAGTAGGGAGCAGAAAGGGAGATCTACTGAAATATAATGCAGGCGAAATGGAAGAAGTCTGCTGCATCAGACGGTTAGCTTCCTGGCCTGGGATCTACCTAGGGCTTTAGTGGTGATAGTACTTGAGAATTAATCCTAGGTCACCAGGGAGGCCCCATAAGGCAGCAATGTTTTTAAAAAGCTTCAGTCCTCACCATAATTATGCGGCTCTCTTGATGTGGACAATTATCAGGACCTGCTGAAGAAGCAAATGGGCAATGCTGAGCTTCGACTTGTGACCAGTGATAAGCATTCTGTATAGCTGGCAGGAGATCAAGGCCTCTGCACAGACTTGGAGCCACACCAGTGGGCCCCTCTGTGAAGCAGCTATGCAAGAAGCTGCAGCCTGTGGGTGACCAGTCTTTAAAAGTCACTGATGGCCTCTGCACTCAGCTGACACCAGGGGGGCCCTAATGTTTGAGGCAGAGTTGCAGCCCCAGGCTCAGGCCCCATTTCCTCTGCATCATCAGCCTGGCCTGGCCTAACACAGAGCCTCAGCTACCTCATAGCCCCTGAGAGCCTGCGAAGGAAGCCCCGGATTCTCGCCCTGCCTCTGCCCAGAGACCATTATCTTATTGCGGATTTGACTTGTGGGAGCTTCTCCTGGTCCTCTTGCAGACTGGTCCACTCCCTTCCCAGGCTCAGCAGGGGCCATGCTGTGGGCTCTGGCCCTGCTCCTGGCTTTCCTGGCTCCCGGTAAGTATATCATATAGACGAACATGGGATTTTATTATTACTATTTTTGTCAGTGGGAGGCCATACAAAGGGCTTGAGCAAACGTTTCTCATTTTTCTTCTTCCCTTTGCAGCCAGTCAGACATCTTCCAACTCAGAAGGGAGAAAGATATCCCTAACCAAGCAGACTGGGTCTTTTGCTGAAATCACCTGTGATCTCCTATCCAAAACCATCACCTACATGCACCTACATGTACCGACACCAGGAGGGAAAAGCCCCACACCGCCTTCTCTACTTGGAGTTCTCTGGCTAAAGTTTGTGGTAGATTCTGGAGTCAGTTTAGAAAAGTACCATGCTTATGAATGGGCAGATGGGAGCTGCAAAGTAGTTGTCTGAAATGTTCAACTAAGTGATGCTGGGGTTTATTACTGTGCCGCCTGGGACACCCACAGTGGCTCAGTCTCCCCCCTCAGCTGCACTTAACTGTGCTTGCAGCTGCCAGCCCAGCCCTGGGACAGGATGGACCAGCCCTTGCCCCATGTCCTGCCCTGACTTCCCTGCACTCAGAAGGACCAGAGCCCTGAGTCAATGTCCAGTTCCACCCTTATGTCCACGCTCTTTTCTCTCCAACCAGCTGCGCCCTAAGACTGTCTAAGGACTGAGCACCCTTCTCCAGGTCT